ATCTATCGCAGGCACCAATCAGGATCTTCTCAAGGTAAGCACCACTCAAAATATCCTTGAACAGAGACTAAAAAAGGAAATATCAGATCTAATGTTCTCTGTTTTAGCTGTTTCCTTTTTTTTTTTAAATCCATCGCTGTTCTCTTAGATCTATATACTCTTTTTGAAGTGATAGAGTGCTGTAAGTAGATATTCGTTTTTTATATTTTTAGATCTATTTATTTTCTGCAGACTTTTTGGTTTGTGTGATAAATGAAATGAAATGCTTTGACGTTTGATCTGATCTATTGTCAACATGTTATTTTTGTAGAATTTATGCTTGATTTATTAGATCTGTTGGTATTTACTGCTTCTGATTGCAAATCGGTGGTGTGGAGTGGAAACATGTCAGATTTGTTTCCAGCTCTCGCTTACTGTTGTATTCTTTAGATCTGTTGATTTGTTTATTGGAACTGCGTTTTCAAACAGTTTAATCTTGTTAGTTTCTTTGCGATACTTATAAGCACACTTCGTTTGACCTTTCAAGATAGATCATTTCAATACCTTCGGATCAGGAACTGTTTCTGCTTTTTCAAACTTTAATAGTAAGCGACAGCATATATGTTTTTTTTTTTTCTATTTGTTATATTGAATTAAATCTGCAGACATTTGTCACCTAAGAGGGAAATACTTGCATTCATACGTATCTATGTATTTGTTGTCGGTAAGATTTTGAGATGTTTGTATTTTGTAACATATTAATATTGTATATTATAGTAATTTAGCAATCTATGCATGCCTACCTGATCAAGTAATTATTTCTAGGGCCGTTTAGGATATTTTGATTGGCACTGCATTTCAGTTGATAGTTTTTGTTGTCATAAAGTGTTTTTTAGATGTTTTCTGCTTTAAATTGTTTTGATGCTTCAGTTCCTGTATCAATGAGTTGTCGTTGGTTGTCATTTGGTTTTATAGTTTGTTCTCTAGAGATTCTGAGTTCTTGCTGAGGTGTGTTCGTACAAGATACTGAAATGTATGTTGCTACTACAGGATATCCCCTTTATTTTACATTGTTGCACTTTTTGCTTATGCTTATACTTGCTAGAAAAGCAATGTGCTCCTGCATGATATTTGCTGAATTTTGCTTCATTTAATATCTTTTCTTGGTTAAAGCATTTTCGTATCTGTGGTCTTACACCGGACTTTCTTGTCGTTGTTGACAATGAGTGAATTGAATTGAATCAATAATATGTCTGTAGATGACTTTGCCACGTTTAGTAACACATTTTTCTCTTCCTTTTTTTTTAATTGTATTTTCTTTGTATGTTCATGTTCTCATGCCCTTTCTTGCAGGGAAGTCAGAATGGATCAGGTTCAACACCCAACCATCATGCAGAAGGTAGCAGGCCAGCTGCTTCGTTCTAGCCTTTCCCAAGATTTTCAAGGATATGATGGCTCTTTGAGGAGGCCTGCTTTATACCAAAGACGTGTTGCATATGGGAATTACTCCAATGCTGCACTGCAGTATCCTGTTGTCCGGGCTTGTGGAGCTACCAGTGACCTGTCTATGGTTCCATCAACAGCCACTGCTGTTTGTGTTCAAGCCCCTGCAGAGAAAGGCTTTTCCAGCTTTGCTATCGATTTCCTGATGGGTGGAGTTTCTGCTGCTGTATCTAAAACGGCAGCTGCTCCAATTGAGCGTGTTAAGCTTTTGATTCAGAACCAGGATGAGATGATCAAAACTGGTAGGCTTGCTGAACCATACAAGGGTATTGGTGATTGTTTTAAGCGAACAATTCAAGATGAAGGATTTGCTTCTTTGTGGAGAGGAAACACTGCCAATGTTATTCGTTATTTCCCCACTCAGGTTAGCAATTGTAACTTTTTTTTTTGTTTTATTATATTTATTTCTCGTGTCTTATGCATATTGCTTTGATTATTTTGCAACAGGCCTTGAACTTTGCGTTCAAGGATTACTTCAAGAGGCTTTTCAACTTTAAGAAAGACAGAGATGGTTACTGGAAATGGTTTGCTGGGAACTTGGCATCAGGAGGTGCAGCTGGTGCATCTTCCCTTCTCTTTGTCTACTCCTTAGATTATGCTCGAACCCGTCTCGCCAATGACGCAAAGGCTGCAAAGAAGGGGGGAGAGAGGCAATTCAATGGCCTTGTTGATGTCTACAAGAAGACCTTAAAATCTGATGGTATTGCTGGGCTTTACCGTGGGTTCAATATTTCATGTGTTGGAATCATTGTTTACCGGGGTTTATACTTTGGAATGTATGATTCTCTGAAGCCAGTGGTTTTGACTGGGTCGATGCAGGTTAGTATGTTGTTTAATGCTGATGTGATGTAAGAGGTTTTTCATTCCTTAATTTTGTCATTGATTATATAACTGCCTCTGCAGTTATTTGATATGACTTAAAACTTTTTGTTGTTGTGGTCGTTGCGCTACTAATTAATAGTATAATATTTCTCATTCTGGGCGTATATTAAATTTTTTCTATGACAAATGGTATTGATTTCCTTCATTGAGCTTGTAAATATTACTTCCATAATGGAATGTTGTAATGACATCTTGCTTTTATTTTCCCTCTGGTATTGCAGGATAGTTTCTTTGCCAGCTTTGCCCTTGGTTGGCTCATCACTAATGGTGCTGGGCTTGCATCATACCCAATTGACACTGTTCGCAGAAGAATGATGATGACCTCTGGTGAAGCAGTCAAATACAAGAGCTCACTTGATGCATTTTCTCAGATCTTGAAAAATGAGGGTGCCAAGTCCCTATTTAAGGGTGCTGGAGCAAACATCCTTCGTGCTATTGCTGGTGCTGGTGTGCTTGCTGGATATGACAAGTTGCAGCTCATTGTTTTCGGAAAGAAGTATGGATCTGGTGGTGCTTAATTCTGGGTATATCTCCCGTTTTGTTCCGTTTAGGATTAGATGGTGATGAAAAACTTGACTCCCGAGAAATTTAATTCGGCAAAATTTCATTAAATAATTCAGTTTTAGGGGGATTTGCTCTCCAAACGATTCTTATTTTCGGATGGAAGTTTTGATTTAAGAAAACATGATAAGATTGGTGGCTAATGCCATGCCACTGCCCCATGTTGGAGTTTTGGTTTTATGAATTGAGGGATATATTTATATTTGAAGTTCTAATTGTTGTGCTTCTAGTTGTTGTCATCCCAGTTATTATGTTTGAAATTGGTATCATGGTGTGATAAAAAAAAAATGGGCAATTTTGAAGCGCATATAATATTTTTTTATGGTGGTGTTGTCAATCGTCCCATTTTCTAGCAGGTCCCTTGTCCCGGAAACGAGGCGTTCAGTGCCTCTGTTTCTTTACTCGCGGAGTATGTGTTTTGGGGTCAATCGCCCATCATAATGGAGATGGCTATAAATCCTGTAGCAGGCGTAATCGTTAAGGGTGCAAATGGTTAATAAATTATGCTGCAACTAGTTTCATGTGTGACCCTTATGTATACTGAGAGGCAGGCTTCCCTTTTTCTTCTTTCGTTTCTGTTTGTTATAGAAATTCGACGGGTAGCGTAAAATCAAAGGAAAGAAAATTACTAGAATACCACATCAAAACTTTTGGCCTTCCCCATTTTCATCTCATGGCATTGAAAGCGATGGCAGTCGACGGAATTAAGCTAATCTTTGCTTTAATGAAGTTGACTAAGAAGTAATCACTTTTGGAATAACTGCTGCTGTGCTGTCCAGCACAACTTGAATCAGATGCTCTTCTTTCTTTTTACCCGATGGAATGTATGAGATGCTCTTTGATTAGTATTTTTGACTACCCTTTTGAAGGATTTATTTACGTAGCCGAGCCTCCTTGCGCAAGATAATTGGAGAAACGATGAATTCCTTGCTTGCAAACCAGGGCTTCTTCTGTCCCAACAACTTGATGACGCATGCTATCTTTCTCTGCCCAAAATTCAATGTAGCTTCGCCTCCCAAATTTAAAGTGATCTTCCTCTCTTTTGTCATTGAATATTACCAGCAAATTCTTGCTTTACTTTTTATGCCAAGGTGAAACAACAATCAGGTCTCCAATTAAGATTCACAACTTGTTTCGTTCACAGTCATTAAACACCGACCTAAAGTGGTTTCCCTTCATTTAGAAACCAGCGACAACCTCTTTCTTTTCCTTCACTCCCATCTCTGTGTTTTAGGGGAAATGTCTGTCATCTTGGAAAAATGACTTGAAGACGCAGAGCCGATAGGTCTGGGACGAACAAACCAAATATACCCTACCCGAATGAAGGGAAGTTCACTAAAGCCCCAGACCTAACCATGACTCCTTAAATGTGGGAGATTTCCAATCTTAACCACTTTCATCAAGGAGTCAGCTGGTTTGGTCCTCTGATCTTCAATTTTAATAATAAGACAACCGGTGGTACGTTGTAGCAATACTACCCCAATCTTTACAACGTTCAAAGCTAACGAAACTTGCTAAACTACCCAAGAAAAGAAGGTTGAAATTTATGTGCAAACATCAGTTATCTCCACAAGTTAACAGGATCCAAGGATTTTGGAATGTTCTAAACAATTATCACTCAGCTCCTAACAGCAGTGACCCAAGGTCTAACCTTGGCACACCACCGATATTGGCATCACACTCACACATCTAAATTCGTTGCAACAATTTGCTACCAAAATGGACCAAGTTCATTCATGTGGTAGCTCACAGCCATGGCATCATGATGGATAGTGAAGACTGAAGAGAAGCAAAAGCCTAGGCCTGCTGAAAATCACTCAACAAACCACAGGAAAAGAAAAAGAAAAAGAGGACATCTCTTTTGTTTTGGTTTACTGTATCAATTCTTTTTTAAGTGTCGTAAATACTAAACAGTAATAGTAGCAGCAGCATTAAATCCAGGCTGCTCTGCCCTCCTGCTTTAAGGCTGCTGCCGTTGGGGTTTGGGGACCAAACCTTTATTGAACTTTAGTGTTTTTAGGTGAACAATTTGTTGGATTCAGAATTCAGAATTCAGAATTCAGAATTTCAGTTTAACAGAATTCAGGACTGAAACGTCGTCGTAGAGGATTACATTTTGTAAGGTCAAAACGTGTCGATAAGCGCAAGACAAAAGCGCCACGAACAGAGACAGAGAGAGGGAGTGTGAAATCCCATCCCTGCTTTCGCTTTCACCTTTCAATGCTCGCTCTCTCTTTCTTCAAACAAAACAAAGCCTTCTTCTCAAGCTTCGTTGTCTCTTCTGCTTTTCTCTCTTCTTACTTCTTTCTTCCTTTCTCTCAATTTTCCTTCTTTTTTTTTTAAAAAAAGTTGGTAATTTCAGTCTGATTATCAATCAAAGCCCAGAATTTTTGCTGTCAACGTTGATAATGTAATCACTCATTGGAGCAAGTTACAGTCTTCATTTGAATACTTTCAAGTGTTTGCTCAAAACATCTCTCTAACCTCTCTGCTTATGTTTTTAACAACAAAAAAAAAAAATATTTCTTTTTGTGATTTGTAGCTTCATTTTTTGATTACTAGAGTGATCTTGATGCTGACGGTGTCTTTGTTTCTCTTCTTATTTCTTCCCCCTTCAATTGTGCTTGGAGTTTTAGTATGAAAATGTGAAGAACATTTTGCCAAGCCAGGTAAAAGATGAGGAAGATTTAAACTTTGTTTGGACGCTCAGCAGACTCAAGAAAATAAGAGAGGCTATACATTTTTTTGGGTGAGATGTTTTCTTAAATTTTTGCAGCTTGATGACGGGACCTGTGATTCATGCTGCTTTGATTTCTGTGAGTTCAACGATTTGGTGCCTAATTTTGAAATTTTAGCTGATTATTACATCGAAATTATTCAGGAAGGGGAGTCACATTAACCAGATTCCATTTTTTGTTGATATCATTTGTTGCAGAACCGCTGAAATTGGCTTGGACGAATATTAAATGAAATCCAAACTCTGCTCAAGTAAGAAAATAGTAATATTTATGTTAAGTTATTCTATAATTTTAAGTTTTGGAAGGGAAAAAAAATGGAAAAACCTTGAACCTTTGATTCTATGATATTAATGTAGTGCTTGATTGCAGCTTACACAAGTGGAGTTGGAGTAGAGGTTAAACATGAATGGGAATAGGCAAATGGAGGTGCATTACATTGACACGGGTTTTCCTTACACTGCCACTGAAAGCTTTATGGACTTTTTCGAAGGTCTTGCACATGTTCCTGTAAATTACACTCACACTGTACCGATGCAGGATCAGGTATTTTCCGTGTTTAATCGCTTGTTTAATGGCAAAAGAAAACAGAGGAAAAATTTCAGCAATAAATTGTAGAATTCATTTTTGATTAGGTTGTTCATGCTTTAGGCAATGCTTAGGTGTGATGCTGTCAGACCCATGCTTTTCATGAATGGAGGATATGGATTTTCTCACTGGTGCATTTATGTGCCCTTTTTTAATAAATTAACCTGAGGAAAGAGTATCTTTTTTCTTTTTTTAAGTAACATTTTGTATGAAAATTCTACACATTGATATGATTGAGGATTTATGGGGACGATGGGATTTCAGTTGTTTCCAATATTAAAATGAACTTGTCTTCCCCTGTCGTTTCTTATGGATTTATGTACTAACATACAACATTGCTATGAATTGGCCGAAAGTGGAAGCATTTACATAGCGAAGCATACTGTATTTATCTTCTAATTATGCAATCACTGTTCCTTTTGTTAAGCTAATTATATAAATTATTTAGTTAGAGTTATAATACAATACCGTTACTTAGTCAGACTACAATATCTATTTAAGCATTATACTATAGTAATGTTAGTCAATTACAGTTAGGCTATGAATAGGATTGGCCTTTGGTCCCAAGTCGTAGTTTTTTGCATGAATGTGATTGTAGTTAATTTTTCTGTGTCCAGGAAAACATATATTGGTCAATGAGTATGAATGCATACAAATTTGGATTTTCTGGTCTGGAGAGTACCTTTTACAGTCCATATGAAGTAAGTGATCATTTGCCAAGAATGGATGTCAGCAGGAGGACTTGGGACTACCCATCAACGATGAACTCTGAAGAGCCTGCAACAATAGACATGCAGCCTGGAGGAGAAGCAGTTGTGGGCATCCATGCCATACCTGAAGAATGTTAGTTAAAAATATGTTTTGATCTTAACAGTTTCAATATACTTGTTAGAACTAGATGTCTATTTTTGTCCTTATGTTTAAAGTTCTACCAATCTGATATTTGCTGGCTTGTTGGAATTATAAAAAGATAATTTATCCTGGCATCTACGTAGTTTATTGACTGTTTTGTTTTAAAGAAACAAAAGAGCCTCTTGTTACAAATGATGTACAAGACTTTATCCTGTTCATGATTTATTGGATTCCTGAGCGAGTCTGTTTCCATAAATTTCTGCGACAATATATTTCATCAATTTTCCCCCTTTACCTACATTTCTAGCCCTAAAGATTTGTTGTTCTTTTTCTAGGTATTACAAATCATCAAAGCAATAGTAATTCTCAGGTATGATCTTTCTTTTTTTAGATGTTACTCAGTTTTTTCTTGCATGTGCTTGTGCGTTTTGTTCTTATGTATCTGACCCAGACCCCCAGCTGAAAGCCACAGTGTATAATCACAAACAAAGTGCCAACTTCCGGACGATGAAACGAAGTCCAACAATCGCCTTGATCAAAATTTCATCTTTGTTATTAATTTATTGCCATAGGAAGTACTTAAAACCTTCTATAAGTGGACAGAAACTTTCTATTATGCTGAAGAGTGGGCAGTGTAAATGCAAGCTTCACTGCCATGGATACATATGTGGGGGAAATTAGCTTATATACTTTACTAAATACGCCTGTATTTATTCTCCCTTTTTGAGCCATAGCTGTCATATAATTGTTCTTTTACTGGCTGTTTCTCTCAACTGTGATCCACATTTGAAGAACTTTGATTAAATTTTTTGTTCTCGATTTTGCATATTATACAGTTTTAACTGTGGTTGCAAACATTAAAGCCTGGAATCTATATTATTTACTGATCAAAGATGATCTGCATTATATTGTCACAGGTTGTTTGGCAAGACGATGTTGACCCAGATAACATGACCTATGAGGTTTGCCTTTGCAGCTAATCGTGCTTTATTGTTTAAAATACACGCGGTTGCACTTTCTAAAAGATGACTGCATACATACCCTTTTCAAATTAAATGAATTCAGGGCAAGAAGCTGAATTATAGGATCTTGTCCTAATATCATAAAGAAACCTCAAGTGATTGTAAAATCAATTCAATTTAAGAGAGAATATTAGGCATTAATCACATGTAGTGTGACTGCACATGCCTATGCACTTGATTGGTTCTATGATGGGAAGTGGGAACAATTATGGAATCAGTAATTACTTGAGTCAAAGCTTGCATAGATGTTATTGATTAGATACTTAATTTTTGTATGACAGGAATTGCTTGACTTAGGCGAGACAATTGGAAGCCAAAGTCGAGGTCTATCCCAGGAGCTTATTGATTTGCTTCCAACCTCAAAATGCAAGTTTGGAAGCTTCTTCTCAATGAAAAGAGAGAGGTAAATCTTTTATTTGTATGTGCTTTGTTTGACAGTGCCTGCTTTTATTAAACTATAGCTGTTAACTTGCCATTGTGTCTCCAGACTTTTATTATTTGCTTTCGTGGCCTTTGTCTCAAGCATTCATACTAAGTTATCTTTTTTGAAAAATTTTTTACTAGGTAAATTTTGTTTTTGACAAATTTTCTAGGCAAAATTGACATGCCTATGCATTGCATATGTTTCCACCAGAAATTGTGGGGAATCACTTTAAACAGATTAAATGTTCACTGTTCTCATCCTTCACCTTGGAATTTTAGATGCAAGAGAAGAGACTTTTCCCAAAACAAGCATATCTCATGGTCCCTACTTATCCCTCCATCATTTCCTGTTTATGGTTTTATATAATACTGGTTTGTAATCTACTTACATGTTGCAATAAATGATGGAAAAGTGGTCCTTCTAGGTAGCAATGGATCTTTGGACTTAAGTCCTTTCTATTACCTCCTTCCCCTTTTCAACTTTTGTGCTTTATCTACTAGTCTTGTACATCATACTAGACTACATCGAAGCAGTTTAGTTTTTACCTTGGAATATGTGCGAAAGGCACAAGGTACAGTTTCAACTGGAACTGTTTTGTAGCTGATGAATGCCCTGTTTGAGACATGTACGCGTACAGGACAATAGCTGTTGCGATGCTTGTTAATGCTGAGTCTCTGAATTGCAATTGTCAAAACATCTGAGACAAACCTTTTTAGGTTTGTAGGAGAAATCATTGGTTGGCTGGTAGCGTTTGCAGTGTCTGAAAATTACCTTTAACATGCAAGCAAACCACAAGTTAAATATCGCAGTTGAATTCATTTTGTAGAGATTTTGTCAAAACATGCCATTTCCTACTATCTCCAGGATTTTCTTTCAATTGCTCATAAATTTTTGGTTTTCACTAACGGTCTTCTTTACCACTAGTTTATTCATAGGGAGTTGATGGAGATACCTTTTAGTCCTAATTTGCAGTTTTAGTCGGTTAAATGCTTCAACTTTCTTTTGTCTGCTATTAGATGTTGGTCCCTCCTCCTCTTTCTTCTTAGGATAATTTGGCCTTTTCCTCATTTTAAATGCTCATCCTCTTAGCTTTTCAACATCTTCAGGTGATCATTTTGCTTTTGCTTGTGAAACAGATGTGTGATCTGCCAGATGAGGTACAAAAGAGGGGAGCAGCAGATGAAATTGCCATGCAAGCACGTCTACCACTCACAATGCATCACCAAATGGCTTAGTATCAACAAGGTCAGTTAATGGTTTCTACAAAGCTGGAAGAATTTTTTAACATCTACAGGCTTTGATTTAGTGCCTCTGACATACTGCTGATCTAAATCGTGTTTCGTTAGATATGCCCGGTCTGCAACAATGAAGTATTTGGCGAGGAGTCAAGGCATTAAGACATCGAAACTAGCTAGTTTTAGAGTAACATGGCTGGACATCTTCCTTTTTATACTTGTCATTTAGCTACGTTCGGTTCCTTTCCATTTTTCCCTGTACACATAGGGCTAGTGAAGCTGTCAAGGACATTTTTCTTGTTCTTTATATAAATTTTGTTTCAGTAAAAGAAAAGGCCATACTACCTGAGTTTCAATAGTTAGAAATATGGTTGGATGAAGTTACAGTATGCAGTAATGAAGAGTTGATTACTAATGATTTAGAATCCATTTAGCATTGTCTTTGTGATGTCAAAACGGTGTTTATGGCTCCAACGCAATCCCTTAACAGCAAAAGCATCTATTAAGGAGTGAAAGGGGGTGGATGAAAGTGAAAGACGCTGTTGGTTGCACCACCTAATCCGACCAATGGTCAAAGCTGGATTCTGTTTGCTCGTGTCCTAATTCGACCTTGAACAAACACAATCGGACTGTAGCTGGTTTCTTTCGTTGCATGTAACGAGTTAAAAAGTTAAAATCAAGGATTCGGATTTGTTTTGCCCAACAGCAGTTTTTCCCTTGAGTTATACTCCACGTTGTCGTGGTGGGATCCAACAAAGGAAGGCAACCACCTGACAAAACAAACACAAAGGCCAAGAGGTTTAGACCAAAGAGAAAAAGAAGACCAAGTAAACTAATATTATAAAATCCCCAACGGTCAGATGGAATTCTAAAAAGACCCACTAACGCTCACTCCCTCTTTGTCTCTCTGCTCTCTAACCGTTACTTAGATCTCCCTCCTTCAGTCCTTCCCTCTCTCTCTGTCCTGAACCCTTTCTCCATTTCTGCCTCCTCCTCTCTCTAATTCTAGCACTCTCTCAAATCCCAAGTGTTTCTCTCTCTTTAATTCTCTATGGAACCAGCAAAAATCGATTGGAAGAGAATAGACTCCAGATTTGTTGAGGACTGTGTTTATGAGCACATCAATGCACCCAAATGGGTTGATTTTTTGGCCGTTGAAGACGCCATTGACGATGAAGCCTGGTTCTGCAGACCTGGTAAAACCTTTTTTTTTCTCCTCTCAATGAATGCATTGCATAAATTCCTCTCTCCCCTTTTGTTCTCATGTAACACTTTTACTTTCTGTTAATCTTGGCATTGCAGATTGTAAGCATCCGAAGACAGCTGAGGATTTCCTTAAAACGACTCCACCTTCAAAGGTTTTAATCTCAGCTTTCCCATACCCTTCTTTTTGCCTCAAAAACATTTTAGGTCCACCAAGTAAAATGTAGGATACAGCAGTGCATGCTTTCTTCTTGCTTGTCCGGAGATTGATTTTATGGGGATAATGATTTGCTCTTTCTTGGTTTTTTTGGTGAAACAACTAGTTCTTGGGATGAGATCGATCTTGCTTTTCTTGACATAAACAATGCTACGTATTATTTTTCTTATGGCATGGGCAATGTTTTAGTTCCTTTTCTTGTTCTTCTTGAATTCTCCTCAGTTTTCCTCTGACAAAAAGAGACTTCACCCTCTGTCATGCTAATGTTATGGACCCTTTGTCTCACCTTTGTTTTATTGACCTTTTTGAAGCTTGCACGATCAGCTAATGGCGGTGGAAGTGGAGGCCTTCCACTTCGAGAATGGAATCAAGGGTATTGAATCCACGCCTTAGATTACAACAAGTTTATGTTCAAGATTCAGTTTTTCTCACCAAACTTCACTTATTTCCATTTTGGGGTTTCTTGTACTTCAGAGATGCAAAACTGAAGAGAAGAGGACAAAGTCAATCTTCAAAATTTTCAAAGATTGATCCTACATTCAACGAAGATGGTGAAAACCAGAACCCAAATTTATCAACTCCTCCAAATCACCAAGCTAAGTCTTTGAAAGCCGCAATGAAGTCAAGCAGTGAAAAGAAGAAACCAATAGATGATATCTCCCAAAGTGATGAGATGCCGCGGCTGAAAAGTACTTTGTCAGCTAGGAATTTGTTTGCTGGTAGGGATATACTAAATCATATAACTGACTTTTGCAATGAATTGAAGAAATTGACGACCAGAGCAAGGGAAAGAGAAAATGAGGAAAAGTTGAGTGAGAAGAAGAGTCAAGAGGCTGCAGTAGTGAAGGAGGTTTCTGGCCAAGTGTTGGGTGAGTTGGACGCGATAGAGAAAGAGAGGAGGCCCCAACTTGAATTGGGTAAAGAGAAACTTGAAGGAATTGAAAATGGAAGTGCAAAGGAAAAAGAAAGGAAGAAGAAGTAAGACTAATCCCTCTCTGTTTTAACTGGTTAAATTTGATTTAGAATCTATATAGGGTACTGAAGTTTGATTATCATGTTTTGCAGAACACATGATGAGGCAGAGAACATTCCCGTCTCTCTAAACTTGGAGAATGTAAAGCACAAAGGAGAAGAACGGGTGCTGCAAATACGGACCAATCCACCCTCCCCTCAGTGCTTTTCTGCCCCTCATGCGCCCATGAAGACCACCCCTTCTAAGGCTTCCAGATCCAGACTTATGGTATGTAAACTGTTACCTGCAGCTTCTTTCCATTTAGTCTTCTGTCCTCCACCACAGAAAGTTGTCTCTTGAAAGAGAGAATTTGAGAAACTTGCTCTTTTTGTTCGCCAACATCAGGGCATCTTTCTCAAATCCTCAAATTGTCTCTTCCTACATGGCAATTTTACTTTATATATTATGTTTCGTTACAAGATTGCTTGTTTTGGTAAGCATTTACAATTCACTCATGCATCCATCAGGAGAGGGGGATCCTTCAAGAACTGAAGCAAAACAAGGAGATGAAAAAAGATGATCCAGCAGCCAAACCCGGAGGTGTTCCTACTAATCTTATTGATGGAAGACAAGCGAGAGCATTGGATGTATTTTGGTTCCTGAAGCCTTGTACACTGTCTGAGTGAACACTTCGATATCAAACAAGAAACTCACATACATTCTTTCATTCTTTCCGTATACCTTAAAACTTCTATGTTCTGTTTACTTCGTTGATTATTCAAGTGTCAGCTTCACAGCTCTTAGTTATTAGTTCCTTGATTCATTGATCCTTGATAAAAGAAAATGTAATTAAAGCATTTTTTTAATAATTGTACTGAAAATCCATTTTCAGTGAATAAAGATGCTATACTCCTCATCTCCCTCTTAGTGTAAGGTGATGATTGTTTCTTCAAGCCTGTTAGGAAAGGGGACCTTTTGATTAATTGATTAGTGTTAAAGTTAAACTCCCATGTGCTTTTAGAATATGGTTTGATTAAAAATTGCACCTCCTTAAGTTTAAAGCCAAATGTATCGTAATCCTGAAGAGTGAAAGTGGCAGCTATGGATTGCCTGAAACAAAAGCAGGCATAAGCCAAACAATGGGCGTTTTTATCTTTTTGTCTTTCTCTCTTTCTCCTTTTGGCCCCCATGTTTAGCAATATAAAGACAATTTCCCAAATGATGTTTATCTAATTCTTGGATAGGAATCAGCAACAACACCCAAGAAACAAACCGCCAAACTCTGCAAACATATATATTGATACATATGAAAGTTGATGAGGTTCTGAGTTCTACTGCTGACATTAGTACTGTAATGCAGTGTACAGTTGGCACGGTGTGTCTGGTTCAGAAAAGTCAAAAAACAGAACCAAGTTTCCAAGCTGATCTCCCACGTCCAAAAACCCTGATCTGATTTTTCACATGGATTCCATCCCCATAAGGTTCAACAGAGACTACAAGAAGAGTAATGAATACAGATCGTATACATAAGCTTCAAACAACACTCACCACTCACGGTTGAACTCAATCCCGCAACGATATACTAAGAAACACAAAAGAATGTTTTTGACTTATTCTCTACCTTGCCTTGTTATCACCACGGGAAAAGAAAATAAACAAAGGGTTAAACAAAAACAAAAGAAGACAAATATATGTACATTAAGATCTGATGATTGAAGCTAAGATCGCTTATACAATCTAATCTAATCTAACCTCAAGTTGCAAAGCATGCAATCCAAGATCCTAGACCAGACGAGCCGTGCACGAGGGTAGAGCCTGTTGGTATAAACCCTCGACTCCCTTACCAGATCCTCCATGGTCTCTACAAAGAGATTCAAGCTTCTAATAGGAGGAACATACAGAGTCAAAGGCGCCGCAGAGAAAGCAATTGTGAAGAACAGCTGCAACATCACGTTCGTATTTCAAAACTATGCAAACCCAAAAAAGCCAGAATCAAAAAGTCTCAAAAACTCAAACTTCTTGGGCTCTGAAGTTGTGGAGATGCAGAGTCTTCGAAGGGTTTGTTGGTTGAGAAACAGCCGAAGGACAGAAGGAAGATACGAAATACTTCTTGATGATGTCGAAGATTGGAGATATAAAGGTGTTGTCTAAGGTTAGGTGGAAGAAAGAGGAAGAGAGGAAGTTCTGGAAATCTGAAGAAATAAGGAGTTATGCACAGCTTTGTTTAGGTACGAGACCGGTCGTTGGACTTGGAGATGTAATTGGGGTTCCCAATCCTGGCTAAGAGCTTTGACCCCTGTTTTCAGTTATCTTCTTCCGGTTTTACTTGTAATTACCCATTACTACCGGTACTGAGCATATGCAATTCACGTGAAAGGGCAGGGATATCATGTTCGGTAGAAATAGATAGAATTCATCAACTCCATATTCATAGTCATACATTCATACATACATACATTGGATCAATTTTATTATTAAATTCAATTAAATTATGTTCGACTTTAGTCATACTTATGAATTCAAAGGTTTTGAACTAAAAATGTAGACTATTATTATAGCTTTAAATGACAACAAAACAAATTAATTTGAATTTGTCACAATTACTCATTTTTTTAACCACTTTGCTTTTTTGAAGTCCCTTCTTATCTTTCAAACGCCACCACCTACTCACTTTATTTATAAAGACTATGTTTTAGAAATTAAAGCTAGATCTATGTATGCATGTGCATACTTCCACTTCATTTTTTTCCATTTCCAAAATGGAAATAATTTTTCACTCAATAAAACTGATTAATATACAATTTTTATACCTTTTCTTTTCATTGCACCTAGAGAGTTTTTTGGATAGTGGGTGAGTTATGAGAATGATTAAAAGTTCATCTCTCTTTTTTTTTTATAAATTTTTATGAAAATTAAAACAAAAAATTTAGTTTTTAAAAAATTTTATATTAAAATTTAATTTTCATTTTATTTTTTTCATTGCACCTAGTGGTTAATTTGGATGGCAAACGAGTCATGAGTATGACCAAAAAAATTATTTCGGATAATGATTACTCAAAAGTTTGGAGTCTAATTTGTGGTGCAGCCGAGCACACGTGTCTCCACTCTCTTTAAATGGCTGAAAGGGATAGGGCCCACGCTCAACAAAACGCTAGAGGGCCTGCCTACCGCCAGAGTACCTAAATGGGCTGACCTGGATCCACACTGGTGACTGATCCAAGCCAGGCTCCTCCCAGATTGCTCTGGGTTCGATGAGACGAACGGCCCATAACCTCCTCACAAACCCAGCCCAGCAACATCAAAGGTAGGAGAAGGCGACTGCAACCCTCAAATTCCCTCTCCTGACAGAAGGAAAATCAAATCGATTCGTCCGCTATTTTCGGAAGCGATCTTCGAAAAATCAAACGCAAGGATTAGGGTTGTTTTGTTGTGAGAAATGGCGATGGCAGGGCGCATCAGATCGAGTCTCCCTCTCTTTAACAGGCTTTTGGGAGCCGATTCTCTTTCCGCTAACAGATCCAATCTTCACCAAACCCTACTTTGCCCCGAGGTAACGATAATCGCTTCACAAAGCAGTCTCATCTGTTTATCTCCATTAGAAATGTGATTGTCTTTATATTTTTTTTGTTCAGTTTGTTACTGTTTGCTTTGCCTTTGTTTCTTGTGGTACTGTTTTTGTTTTCATTTGTGTTGTGTATATCTATTCGCAATGAGAGAAAGTGGAGATATCCAAATAGCTCTTTTTGCAGAAGGAGAAAAATTTGGGTGCTTAGGAATTGTGCGAAGCTTATGGCTTTAACTTCTAATTCGCTTTCCTCTTCATTTTACAACCGTGCAATGTTTAAGCTAAATTTTGATTGTTGACTCTCTGTCTGTCTTAATTTCTTCCATTGTGTTTCTTTCAGCTGTCGAAGAATTATTCAACTGCGCCCCCCAAAAAGGAAGTGAAAGTCAAGGTATCTGGATTTCTTTTAACTTAAAAAACTTCCTGTTGCTAAGGTGAAGTGCGTGCTTTACATTTCCAGGGATAGAGAGGCAGTAAGGCTGTGAAATTAGTTTCATATATGTGTTTTAATTCTGCTCTGTTGGTTCTTAATGGCATTTTAGGTGCCTCTGGCTTTGTTTGGGGGACCAGGAAACTATGCCTCTGCACTTTACCTTGCAGCAGTAAAAGGAAATGCTCTGAACAAGGTTGAGTCTGAACTTCTTAATCTTGTTGAGGCTTCAAAGAATAGTCCAACGTTTTCTCAATTCACCAAGGACTTGTCAGTACCTGCAGAGACAAGAGTCAAAGCCATTAATGAAATATGTGGTCAAGCTGAATTTTCAGATGTTACAAAGAACTTCTTGGGTATGAAAAACGGGAAAATTTGTTGAGCAAGTTTTACTTGAATTATATAAACTATTTAGAGCTGTTGCTGGCTTTTGTATGAAGTTCAATCTTTCTTGGTTGTGATGAAATGAGAAATTGAGACTATGTGGAAGGCTTTCTTTTCTGGTTTCTTCTCAATGACCATAGGTATGTTATGTTCATGTGAAGGATTGAATGCATGAAGAAATTTTACTGCTTTGTATAACATATGCCTTGTGAATTATAAGGTGGTTAGCAAGCTTGATAGTTTCACGGAATTATGGTCTGGAGTAGCTACTTTTGCATCTTAAACTGATGCAGGAAATGGAGGATGGTAGCATTGACATATGAAACCATAGGATGATTAAGGCGTGGTTAAAAGAATTTTTGGAATTGTATGATTAGTTAGTAATCTTCGTGGATGTGGTTAGCTAGCTACTTGTTTAAAAGTTTCATTTGAGAGTTTTAGCTTGGGAAGTTGTGGATAAGTTGTAGGTCCTGTGCTTCACTTGATTCGTTATTGAGCTTCCGATTCTTAGGGTTTAGCCAAATGATGTCTTAAATATCTCTCATTTCAATTCTTGTAATCTATTTCAATTATTTTTGACCTATCGGACATTCTTAAGGTTGTAGACCAAACATGGTCTTATTGTCATTACAGACTAAATGCGGTGCACTTCTTCCTTTCACCCATGATTATATTTTTGTTATTGTTTTTCCCTGTTGTTGATCTGGTCTTAGTCTGTAGGTTTTTTTGGTCTATAAAATCTCTTTCTGACTTCAATGGGTTTCAATATAGCATTTTTGCCATCCGCAATAATTTGCAAATCGTAGTTGTGGTGGTCTGTACTCTTTGTATGATATGCATCACATGTTTTATGTCTTTTAGCCCGGACTTTGTTTGTTGCATGTTAGCCTGTAGTACTGCTGGACTTACTTGCATATTTTTCTTGTCACCATCTCTGTTTTATTTATAGCTCCTAATTTGTTGTGTGTAAGGATTAAATACTTCTCTAATTTTTTATTTTTTATTTTTATATTATCTATGCTAGTTGTATTGGCTGAGAATGGAAGGCTAAGGTACATAGAGAGCATTGCAAAGAGATTTGTGGAGTTGACCATGGCTCATAAGGGAGAAGTGAAAGCCATTGTAACAACTGTTATTGTAAGTTTACTCTGTAATTGTAAAGTTTTAAGTTACTTTTATCATCCTTTGAAAAATTTATGTTCATATAAAGTTGAAATTCAACTATAGCCTTTCTTTTATCCCCTTGAAGGAACAGAATGCAGTCTAACACTGCAATGCAATTAGGCAGATACATGAAATTTTGTTTCAATGGTTTATTTAATATATTGGCACTGTTCTTCTCTTGAATACTTTGTGATTATGAAGTTTTTTTTTTTTTAACCTAATACCATAAAGACCTGATGCTTGCGATATCAAATATTTTACTAGTGTCTACTTGGCTGATGCTAAGTGTTTAGGCTCAAAGAATTTGGAAGTAATCTTCTTTACACCTATTCCGTATTCATTGTCCTTCACTGTCTCATCTGGATGGTTGTCATTCTGTACCAGCCCCTTCCCCCAGAGGAGGAGAAAGAACTGAAGGAGACATTGCAGGAAATAATTGGACAGGGGAAGCAGGTGAAGCTGGAACAGAAGGTATGCAGTTTCATCTGTCATGTATATTATTCAAGATTACTGCTTGTTTTACTCTGTAATTCTAAATTTTCTCCCGTCTGTGCCAGATTGATCCTAGTATTCTTGGTGGGCTTGTGGTAGAGTTTTCACAAAAGGTGTTTGACATGTCCATTAAGACTAGGGCACAACAGATGGAGAGGTTCTTGCGCGAGCCTGTCAACTTTGGTACCCTCTGAAAGATGTCATTATCCCTAGCTGACCTTTTTAGGTTCCTTCTGCACCAATTTGTTAGTCAAGAAGGGCAAAGAACCATTCTGGTCTTGTTTGCCTCTGTTTTCTTGTACTTTGCCTTTTCATATGATGGAATGCATCCATTCACAATAAAAGCGACCTTCTCGGCATATATTTGGGAATGGCACTGATAAACTTTCTACCTTTTGTATGGGGTTTTTGTGGCCACTTCACCTTTGAAGACCATAATTTGTTCAGGTACATCTTAAATGTTACTTGCCTGGACATCAACTACTGTTTTTGAATACAGATGAATGTCTCTTTTCTATTATGTATATTGCCATATTTAATTATTTATTGTTCTACTCATTAAGTTGTAAGCATGAGATAGTTTCCTACGAACAAGGCCATTGGAAAAGCAAGCTAGCGGGCCAGCTTGATAAAATTAATGATCTAGTAGAAATACATATTTGTACACCATACAACCAGAGGGGTGGCGACAATTCCTCCAAAATAGAAAAGTCTGCCACTAACTAGCTCTCTGCTTCTCCATTCATCTTCCTCCCAATCCTTGTCTTGTCCTTCCCAGAATGCTGCCACCGGCGCCGAGCATACGCCACGAGGAAGTAGAAGAAATAAAGCACTATTTTAATTGTTGAAATATCTCTCATCTAAATTAGTTGTAACTATTTGTCCACGCCTTGTGGTATTTTCCTTTTATATGCATACAACACGGGCACACGTGTATATATATATATATAAACAATCCTAATATTTTGTGAGTTTTAATTATGAGCTAAATGCTTTCTTGATTACTAGCACTTTCAAATTATCCTCTGTTTTATCACAGCGAAAGCCTTCAAGCTGCAAAGTTGATTGATGAAGCCTAGCACATTAATTTTTTTGCAAAGTTCTTTCATGAACCTCCTATAGTTAATTACCATATAAAGCGGTGACGAAGCCTGAGGTCCCATAAAGATGCAAATATAGAAAAGGTGCAATCCTAAGAGGAATTTAGAAGCAACAGGATTTGAGATCAAAGAGGATTATATACGTAGGGCCATTTTGCAGAGGACACATCATTGAGGCATCTGCATAAGGTTTGCGACAGCTGATGAAGGTGAGTCCGATGTCCAACTGTGGAGGGGCGGGCTGGAGGGTTCCAGCGAACTTAAGATGGTTTGTTTCTTTGAATATATAGGAAGTTGGATGAGATGAAGCAGAGAAGAGGAAGATGTATCAGTATTAGAAAGGCATGAGCCACTACGGACCCGTGGTTGTCAGCTTTCATTCATGGATGTCTCTCATTCCTGTTGTTCTTTTGGCTCTTATGCTTTTGATTGTTCCTGTGTCCCACTCAATCTAAACCAACAAAAGCTGAGAGACTGAACAATGGTGTCCACTTCTCTGTACAAAGCTTATAAACTAATACTGACTAACTCTTTCCTCTTTTCCCTATACGGTTTATTCTAGCTAGTTGTTCACTTAATTTTTCAGGCCATAGCTTCCTCGCATTGCTAGACCAATGGATATTACTTCTTCGTACGTACAATCATTTTTCTAGACAGATTTTTAAGTTAAACAGCACTATATATATATATATATATATATATATATATATATAATCTTAGTCCAATTAATGTGTAACAGCAAAACGGGGGGCTAGGTGTTTTTTCTTGTCTTTTTAACCAAGTAGTTTGTTGCTTGGGACAGCCTTAAAAGCATGGAACAGGTTTTTCCTGGACAGCTGTTGATAAAGAGAATACTTTCGAAACATTTGAGTAGCTTGAGAGTTTTCCTCACTTTTTGCCAGGTATTGTGGCAGTCGCTGTCAAAACATATACAGCATTATATGAATAACTGTATGTTGCTCTTGTATACTCGAAGATTTTGACTAGGACTCTCATATAAGATGGATTTGGCGGAAACGAATGACCCGGAGTTTCTCAGGATTTTCTTTTTATGTATGATACACGAAAATTTCTCTGGCATGCAGGGCGAGGAATTAGGTAAGGAAAGGGATTCAGAGAGAAAGATAAACCTGACAAGACAATAAGACAATGAAAGGTTGTGGGGCATATTAACCTGTAATATCTAAGATACCTTGAGATGGCCCATGTAGATTGTTGTTGATTTTTGGCTCTGATCAAGTGAAACCTGATTAACAAATTAAACAAGTAGTTTGTAGTAAACCCTTGGTTCAGGGACTCGCTGTCAAAATCATCTGTATATGAAACACAACTAGCAGTAATTGCTGGATATATTCAGCTGGTAAGTAACTCATAGATGGGTCATATGCAGTTAGATTACCGTGAATGATGAAGTTATAAAAGAAAATTGTTAAGCGCTGGTTTAAGATGAAGAAACAACTCTCATACGCTTCAATATATCTGCAAATGGTGATACCACTTGAGAAATATCTTTTTGAGTGCAAGGGAAAATAATTTTTCTTAATTTAGGGAGGTAACTACCCAATTTTCCAGATGAAGTGCCTTCTGTTTCCAACAAGATTAATAAGGGCATTTTGATATTCAGCTGAAGTGATATCTTTCCAGTTTGATGAAATCAGGGCCTGATAATCATTTCACACGCTTTACATGTTCTATTAATTCCATATTGTTGCACAATATTTTTACTAATGAATTACTCTTAACAGAATGATGCCTTTAAGAGAAAAGAATGCTTTTGACCAAACGAAGGGGGGGGGGGGGGGGGTAGTAACTGGGGGCGTAGATAGCAGTTAAGTCCAGGTTCATGTTTCCTTTTTCCTTGGTAGTTGAGAGGCGTGTTAGGCTCCTGATTTCATGTGCAGACCATCCGGGGCGCATGCTGCAGCCTACAAAATATTGTTCACGTTTCTCATCTGAAAACAAAGATAAACATATATGGGAGACCAGAACCTAAAAGGTATAGTAAACGTACTATATTTTTTGTGTTCTGTCTCTGATCTCTGCGGCCTCTCTTTCTCTCTCTCTCTCTCTAGGGCATAGGCTTATCCTTCAAATACACGTGTGGGTTGAGAGAGAGAGAGAGAGAGAGAGAGAGAGCGAAGGAGCATTATGTGAAATGGAAGCAAACAGGTTTGTGTCTTGTACACATATGATGATTACCTTGTGAGTGAAGAAAAATGCATCGAAAAAGACAAGATAGAGTCAAAGACAAGACGACCAACCATCCCTCTCTCTCTCATCCTGTGAGGGTCGAAGGAGGTCCCCCTCCAATCCGTTTTCCACTCTACCCATCAACCAACAAACACTCTCTCCAAATGCATTCCTCTCATACATATTCATATTCATATTTTAAAGCAAACCCCACAACCATCACCATCATCATCACCATTACCACCCCATGAAGCCTTCTTTCTCTCTCTCTCTCATACAGCCATCATTTGCCTATATAGCTTTCTCTTATCTCCATCAAACCAGTTAAAAAGAGAAAGGCTCCACTAGATCAGATCGAGACCCAACAGCAATGAGGAAGCCTGATCAAAATATGGGAAAGGACAGAGTTAACAATAACAAGATCAAGCTGAGGAAGGGATTGTGGTCACCAGAAGAGGATGAGAAACTCATGAAGTACATGTTAACCAATGGACAAGGCTGTTGGAGTGACATTGCCAGGAATGCTGGTCTCCAACGGTGTGGCAAGAGTTGTCGTCTTCGTTGGATTAATTACTTGAGACCTGATCTTAAGCGTGGCGCCTTCTCTCCTCAAGAGGAAGAGCTTATCATACATTTGCATTCCATCCTCGGCAACAGGTTCGATTTTTATTTCTATCTCTCTTCTATGGCTCAATCAAGAAGAAAAATTATTGAAATTACAGTCATATAATTGCAAACCGTAAGTGTACTATAATCTTTTCTTCCTGGCATTTACCTAGTGCTTATTTGGAGTCCAATAGAGAGATCATGTCATAACATATAGTGAATGATAAAATCTACTTTTTTATCCTTTTGCACACATGTTCAACGCTTAGAAGCGAAAGAAACTCGTGATATTGTTAATGTGCAAATGCCAATATCATATACTACATTGTGAAACACCCTCAGTTTAAACTCTCTTAACAATGTGGAATTTGCATTATTCAGAAGTATTTAGTTCCATTTGTAACTATATTATCCTTGGTCTGGCTATGCTAAGCAAGTTAACGGCTGCTCAATCTTATAAATTATAACTTGAATATGGTGCTTCTGATCTATTGAATTCAGGCTGGATTTGAACCCAGTCATAAGAATTTATTCTTTTCTGGTTCAAGCTTTGTTCGTTTTAAAGTTTCTAATTCTCTTCTTGAACAATGCTTCCAGCAATTGTCCTCTCATTACAGATATAATTTGATTTGATTATTGCTTCTACTTGGCTCGGGACATGTAATCTAGAACTTCAGAAAAATTCAATACTCATTAATACCAAAGGCATCCTCTTCTGTGGCCTTGCATTTGACAATCTCCGGCCACCCACCATGTACCCCACTCATATTAATTTCCTGAATGAGCCAATCACGCTTATTTTGAAATGCTCTAAATCTAACAGAAGAAGAGCTTATAGCAGGCAAGAAAAATGAGTGGCCTTAACAATCCTCCATGATCTCACTCCTCTCCTCTTTTTTCCTTCAAGCCCTTCTCTTTTGGTCACAATTATATGCATGCATCATTTCAGTTTTAGAGCTTAAGCATCCATGCAAAGCATGCATCCGAAAAGGAAAAGAAAAAAACTGGAACACATTTTAACGTCTCTGCTGAATTTATTTTTATGCTACCACGTAGCTTATATATTGATGTATATATGTCTTATTTTTTCATTGGTTCCAAATGTTTCAGGTGGTCTCAAATCGCGGCTCGTCTTCCAGGAAGGACAGATAATGAAATAAAGAATTTCTGGAACTCCACGCTAAAGAAAAGATTGAAAAACAACACCTCCACATCCTCATCACCCAACAACAGTGATTCATCGGAGCCCAGAGACCATGGTGTAGGAGGGATTTTCCCTGTGCATGAACATGACATCATGACCTTATGCATGGACTCATCTTCCTCATCATCAACATCCATGCGACCAATTGTTACGGGCAAGCAGTTTGATCCGTTTCCTCTGCTCAACAACCGTTACGACATGACAGGTGCACCGTGTTTGTTCGATGTGCCCGCGTGCTTAACGCAAGGTGGTATGGGAGAAGGACTTTACGGGGATTATGGGGTTTTAGAGCCTGCAAATAAAATAGGGTTGGAAGGGGACTTTTCTCTTCCTCCACTTGAGAGTAGAAGCATTGAAGAAAATAATGCTGCCAATGCCAGCATTGATATGAAAAGCAATAACAACCACTACAATAATACTTGCTTCAACAACACTGATCAGAGCTTTAAAGTAGGGGACATATTTGGGTTAGAAAATCATCATTGGCAAGGAGAAAACTTAAGAATGGGAGAATGGGATCTAGAGGGCTTGATGGATAATATTTCTTCCTTCCCTTTCCTTGATTTCCAAGTTGAATAACTGCCGACACTTAGGGCCTCGGCCTCTCTCTTTCAAAATCTACCCAAAGCCATACATAGGAAATTTTGGGCAGTTTTTCTTTTTCCCCATCACCACAATTTACACTTCAAGCCCTCTCGTTTGCTGCATTTCTCCTTGCCATCTTCATTTCTTTTTCCTCTTTATCTTAATTTCTTGGTTCTTCATTACGTACCCTTTTTTTTTTCCTTTGAATTCCTTTTCGCCTTCTTTTAGACTCGAAAATTTATATACCGGAGTTTCCATAATTCTGGACGTCTGGGAATAAACATGAAAAAAGTGGAGATTAGCACAACCGGAGATTTCTTGTACGTATGTATTTCAGTTTCAGCAAGAGGCACTTCAGTCAATTCGCAGAGGGGGAGGATTGGTGCAAGAATCGTCGTTCCTTTTTCTAAGAGAAATGTGAATAGTGATACAGATATAGAAAGTCAAAAATAAAGATTAAGATTATAGTTGTTGATTGTAGTTTAATTTCATGTACAAATCAGGGGGAATAAATTTGAAAGTGGAGGTTGTTATTAGTGGAAGCTGAGAAGGATGCATGTAACACAAATTTTACGTAAAAACACCTCAATAATAAGCAAAGTAGAGAATGCTCTCTCTTTTCCAAGTAGTATATGTTAAATACACATAGACAAAATTGCTTCTTCTTTGCATGGGATTAACTAAAAGTTTACACAACAAAGTTACGTGCTTTGGGCTTGCCTTGAAGAAGTGCAGTTGGCTACTGACATCGACCAAGAGTTACTACATGATCAAAACTTCAAGCCTCCTTTTTATTCTTCAACGAGATTAATATATATGAAGGGAATGAACCAAATGGATAGCAAAAAGAAATTGTTGGATCCTTGCCTTGGTGCAAAAAGAAGAGGTTGCTACGTACTCTGCATGCATCATGCATTATGTTAGGTTTTTTTTTTTTTTCATAAAGTTGACAGTTATTCATTTCAATGAAGTGTTATTCTTTGTTGAAGGCAGTGAAATGAAATTTTTTACAAAACAATTAATATAGAAGAAGACGGCAAAGGATGAAGAAACCATTAATTTCTGGGGCAGGCAGGTAACTGCAGATGGCACTATGTATCATGGAAAGAAAAAATTATCTTGCGTTGCCTGACCTCAGAGATTGCAACTCTCGCGGGATAAACCTATGTACTTAGCAGGCTGACGCCTTAACCAGTCGGCCGAAGCGACGCTGGTGGACTGAGGCTTGATTGATGTTCCAGATTCCATTGGATATACAAATTTTGTTGGGCCAAGTATGACACAAACCTTAAAACCCAAAGAAAGCCTCAGTAAAATGGCCTAGAAGGGTGAAACTAACTAATAGGATCCATTTGTTCAAGCCTTTTGGGCTCGTTTGTGTGGCTTTTGCTGGTGGTGAATACGTCTCGGAGTGCATCCATAAAACTTCCTAATCAAATTGGTAATGTTTTCCATTGCATTGTTTTGCTTTCTTTCTTCCGGTTTGTCGTAGGGACTTGAGGAAAGGGACGATGGATTTACTTAGATTTCACTAAATTAGGAGACAGGAGTGGTTAATCACCTCTACGTAATTACCTGTTCAAAACTCCATAGCTATTAAGATTTTAAGAATAAGGCGAAACTATTAATTCGATATTGAACCAAATACTCATATGTATAGAATATTGGAAAATTTTTGTTATTCAAAGAAATTATTCCTACCATGAAAGTAGTTCAGCTTTTCTATATAAGATTTCATTCTGGTATGCGAAAAAAGAGGCTTGTTTTAATGACAGTAGTAGGACATTAAGTTGGGTCTGCTGGAATGAGTGACTTTTAAAAAGTTTCCTTCGGCCTTATGCTTAAGCTAGCTAGTAATATACCTTTAATTTGTTTGACGCTGGGACAGGGCCCAAATATATATATTGAAGCAGCCACTAAAATCATGTGACGCACAGAGGCAGTAATTGCGTGCCTTCCAGGTTACATTTTCCCTCGACCTTCTTGTGAAAATACATATTTATGGCTAGTGGACTTCACTCTTTATTTATAACATGCCAAATTAATTGGACCAAACAAATTAGTATTGTTTATACCATACCCACAAGGACACGTGTGGTACATGCGTGCAGCCGTCACAACAACTGAGCTGAGTAAATGTGAGAATAATTCTCACTCAACACGACCTAAACATGTGATAAGATATTATAAGTGACGGAATGATCTTATTATTACAATTTATTGAAATTCGATTTCTAATAAATCTTCTTTAATCTCTTACACAACTATATAATCATCCCCAAATAGGTTTAACTAATCCTTTTCCTAAGCAGAACAAAAGAAAAACAGTGGTGATATAATGTTGCCGGGAAAAATCCAATGGGGGGTTTGAATTTGAGATTTACCTGGCCATGGAACATGGTAAAAAGCCAACAGTACTCAGCAGGGTCTCGCTTTCTACAAAAAAGTTATTCATTTATGGTGTGGGGGATAGGAAGTATAATTTAACAGGAGCCCCTATATATATATATATATATATATGTGGATGGTGAGGATTGAGATCTAGCCTAGCCAGCTTTGAGCAAGAAAAGGAGAATAAGAAATATGCAAATTGGTGATGATGGCAGTGAGAAGAAGAGGGCAATTATTCATTATGTCTTGGCATAAAAGCAAAAGCTGCTCCCATTCCCATTAGTTTATCAATCTTCTCATTGTTATCTTCAATCATGACCCTCAATGTGGCAACCCTTGTATAACAATTCTTCCTCCCTTAAAAAACAAGTATTTCCGGGGATTAGGTTGATTAAAGCAAGCAAAGAGGCGTAATTACAATTAATTGGGACATTACGTTTTTTCCAAAAAAAAAATAATTAAAAGTATTCCCATGATGTATATAAACCTCATGATTTGAATTTTGATGACACATAATACAAACAACCTACATAATTGTAATCCATATACCTATCATTCAAATAAGTACATGATCCATAGACAAAAATTCTTATATAGTGCTTTTTTTTATTCGATTAAAAATAATTTTATTAGATATCAAACTGATAATAAGAAATCTGGAGAGATTAGAATATAACTCTTCATATAAAGAAACGGTGTGTTATTTTTTTGTATATGTATGTACATGCAGGTGAAATAAATATATTGCTTTTACTTAAATGATCACACATCATTAAAGACCAAAATTGTAATTATGAATGTGCACTAAGTGTTGGTGTAGTCCATATTATTCACTATTGAAAATGTTGTTTGGGTTTCTCTCTGTCTCCCTTGTAGCTAAGATGGATGGCATCTTTCTCTCTTGAAATGAAAAGGAAATTTGGAAGGAATATTTAAATTAAGAGGACAAAGGAGAGTGGCAAAGCGTGCTCACTTTGCTATCATTCCTAGGATGCAAAAAAGATTGAGACAATTCGGTGTAAAGCAAATCCAAGGCTAGCACTACAACGTCAGGAGCCTTTCCCGTAACTTTCGGACCTATTTTGCTTTAATTTATATATTGTTTGCTTGTTTAAAACATTAATTGCTTGCTTTAACAAAATAATTATCAAAAGCTTCATTAAAATTAAAACTCCTTTTTATAAATATTAGAGATGAAGATTTATTTGAATTTAAAACCTTTAGTTTAGGCAAGTTGTGTCGGTTATATTTTGAAAATTATTTTAACGAAATTTAAATATTCAAAAAGGGAAAAAATATTATTATCCTTGAAAGTTATTTTTTTTTCTTCTACACTATAGACAATTCGAGAATGATTCACATAACAAATCACTCTCCTGTTCTTTAAAATATGTTTCATAAAACAAATCATATTGAGACATGTAAAAACAATTACAATAATTTATTACTTGTATTATTTTGAGAAAGTCGAATCACTTAATAAATGTAATTCATACTGTCCTATAATGCTTACTCACCTTTAATCCTTTTTTAACGGTTATTAATAAAGTTTAACTGAATAAAAGGGTAGGGGGAGGTAAATGCGATTAGAAAATCTTTAGGACCCAAAACCCAAAATCTTTAGGCCATGTGCCTGCTTCAGAAAAGCAACTTCTTTTTACATATATTTGTTCAGTTTAAAAGCCCTCCAAAACCCAAAACGACGGCCAGGGGGCAGAAAATCATCTCTCGCATTAATTCTCAATCTCTTTGTCTCTCTGCCTTTCCATGTCCAGTCTGTCTGCAATTCAGGGAATGGAAAACAGTCATGAAGACCAAGAAGCCTTGATGTTCCACTCCTACCCATGTGCTTACTACGTGCAAAGCCCTTCCACCGTCTCCCATGCAAACAGTGCCGATATCCGAAACAACACCAACATTGAAGATCAATCTGCCTTCCACTCCCCCACTCGATCCGAAACAACCTTCCTCAACAAGAACCCCGACGTCTCCAGATTCACCCTTTCACGTTACTCATCCTCCCGCGGATCAAACAACTCCTTCTTGCATGAGAAAAAGATTGTTGGAGCTGACAACGGCGTCAACCGTCTCATCATTATTGACCACGGGGTTGGTAGCGGCGGCGATGACGATGAGGAGGAGGAGGAAGATGAAGAAGAGGGCCACTACGGGAAGACAAGAGGGTGGTGGTGGAGGTATTGTTCTTTTAGAAGGTCTAATTCTTGCGCCTGGATTTCTATGCAAATATGTTGGAGGCTTGTGTTGAGCTTGGCAGTCGCTTTGCTTGTCTTCTACATTGCTACAAAGCCACCACCTCCTAAGATTTCTATTAAGGTATGCATATCCCTCTCCCCCTCCATCTTTTCTCGAAATTACAGGATGATTTTCTTATTTATTAGTATTATTTTTATACTGTTAGGCATAGTGTAATCTCAATTAATTTAGCAGTAATTAATTTACTCTAAAATGTTCATCTAATATTTTGATAGACGAAAATTTACATTTATCATATTTTTTATTTTTAAAATTATAACTGTTCTAGTTGAATGTAACAACTCTTGTTATTCAACTCAATAACCTCAAATCATCAATCATGCATATATATATATATACACACACACACAGCCAGCCACAGAGGTTTTTTTTTCCAATTAAAGACTTGTTATAGCATTCTAATTTTGGGTTCAATTAAATTATCACTTTTCAAATAAAAAAAAAGAAAGCTTTCAAGCATTCTCTATTCCACTTAATTCAAAGGAACTCTAATAATTCCATAATAAAAATCCAAGCTCGAATAAAATTATCAGGTTCATTTCACACAATGCTTTGATTGTAGATAGCAGGAGTTCGTCAATTCGGACTAGGGGAAGGAGTGGATGCCACAGGGGTTACAACGAAGATTCTGACCTGCAACTGTTCCATCGATCTACTCATAGAAAACAAATCAAAGCTCTTTGGTCTCCACATCCACCCTCCAATAATGGAGATATTCTTCGGCCGCCTTCCCTTTGCGATGTCACACGTAAGTCTAGTCGTTTCATACTATCAAGTCATAGTTCTACAAGTTGATATACATGGTATGGAATTCTATTTCCTTTATTTAAAAAAGAAAATGTAAATCAAACTTGCAGGGACCAAAACTATATGCCCAGGGCTCTGGTTCATCAAAATTTCAGTTATATGTTGGAACAAGGAATAAACCAATG